CATGGCATGTTAGACACCTCCATTTGTGCCTTTTTGAGGATAGCCTCTTTGTCCCTTCTTGACGAGGTTCCACTCCACTCGGCATAATAACATTGAAGGGAAAAATCAAGATCGAACATATCCAATTCAAAATCTTCAATATCCGCTGGGTCCATAATTGGTCGGTTCATTCTGTTATGATCACTGTTACGGATTGCGGAAAGGTAGGACTCAAAAGCAGACTGCAAAAAAGGTAAGGTCTATAAACAAAAGCGAGCTTTATTTAAAAGCTGAAAAAACAAAAACATGGCATGAATCGAAAAACATAGAAAGTACAAGTTAAAACACACAAAACTGACCGTGACGAACATGGAGGGAGACAGGAGAGACAAACAATGAACCGACGGGGAACACAGGAAGAGACAAGACTAAATACAGGGAGGGGTAATCACGAGACGAGGAACAGCCGGGCAGGGGAGGCAGAAACACAAGGGCAACAGGTGAACACAATTAGACAATCAGACACACCAGGGAAACTAACAACAGGAAGGAAAAACACAGGAAGGCAGACAAGAGAAAGGGGCCCGTTCTCATTTCATCAAATCCCCCTCCTCGACTCCTCGGTCCTCCGGTAGTGACCCGGAAATGAATTTTAGCGCGCCATGTTGAAGGACATCTCATTTCTCTAAATGCACTTCGAGGACCGAGGATCGAGCGTCGAGGAGGCTCTCTGGAGGAGCTATAACCGAGGATACACTGATGGGTCCTCCACGGTCCTCCACGGCTCCTTCATGGATGCATTTCCGGCAACAGTGATGTTTCAAAGAGTCGAGACGCACGGCCGGACTTATCTCAGCCAATGACAGCTCTGCATGCATCCCCTGGATATTATTTTATTAACTGCTTTCATCGCGACGCGATGTTTACAGTGAGAACAGCTGTGAGGTCCGTGCAGAAAGCAGAGCAGTGTGTATAATATATATCACTCAGTATAACAGGCCTACTCTCTGTATTTGCTTTAGTTTAGTAGATATCTACAAACAAAGTCGATATTTTTCTAAAACCATTTAGTGCTTCACATAATAAAATACACAACGGCTGTAGCCTGATTATATGCTTTAGGAGCTGTAGGTGCGTGTGTGTGGTGTAGGTGTTTGTGGTACAGTGTGTGCGTAGATGCAGCGGACAGACAGGTCTCAGTTGGTTTGGTGTCCTCTGCTTACTTGTAATACTTGTAAATAAAACTTTTGGCCCGTCATTTATTTCCCTCATTGTAGCGACCAGAGAGGGGAGGGGGGGGGGATATATCCAGTCTCTGATAGTGTTACGTTATTATGAGAGTGCTCTGTTTGATTCTGAAATTGTATATATATATATATACGTGTGTGTGTGTGTGTGTGTGTGTGTGTGTGTGTGCGTGCATCTGTAGCCTGTTATTGTCTCATTATACCGCACTGTGAATGAATTAAAAGTAAATATATAAGTCGTCATGAACACATCTGTCCATCAGACAGAGGGCTGCTGTGCCTCCTGTCATCATTAATGGACGTCTCTTTAAAATGACCGCTCAAAGGAGAGGAGTTCTCATTTCTCTAACCGCCTGCTGCTTCCCCTCCTCTCTCCTCGGCTCCCCTCCTCGGCTCCTCCGCTCGCATCTCCTGTGGGCGGGACTAAGTCTCGAGGATGGGAGTCGAGGAGGGGAGTCGAGGAGGGGAATTTGATGAAATGAGAACGGGCCAGGGAGAACAGAACCACAAAACAACACCCATAACAAGACATACAAAACTAAAAACGTGACAAAACATCAAGATCGTGACAAAAGTATAAGCAGGCCTTTTTATTTCCTTACTAACCGACCCAATCAGCCTATAACAACTGTTTCTAATAAAAACATACCTGTTTAGGACTCTTACAGTAATCCGTTTTTTAAACCCTTTACACTGAAAAAAAGTAGCACAATGGAGAACCTTAAATGTGATCAATTATGTGACTACAGTTGTACCTGAAACCCCATTTTGGAGGGGAACGGATAAGGGGGTTTGAGACATTATAATTAGCAAAAGTATTTAAATTCTATAAATTACAATGCAATAAAAATATATTTGCCAATAATCAAGCCTACAGTACAACATAAACATTTTTTTTCTGTTCGTTGTAAAAAATACATCATTTACATTCCAAATTCCTAGCTTCACTATTAGTTATGCCTTAGACATGGATTTGTAATATAGCAAAAAACTATAATAGTGATGAAAGATTAGTAAGATATGAACTTGCTTAAAAATCACAATTTTGATTTACCTGCAGAGGTGAGACGGGCAACAAAGGTACACACACAAACACACTATTTATTATGAATTATTTCTTCTTGTTTGTCCTCTTCATAGTATCGGCAAACAGTACTACTTTATCCGTAGTCTTTGTTTGTGATATACTTGTGGTTTCACAGTTTTGTATGCAGAAGCATAAGCGTATTGCATTAAATGCATGATGTAATGTTATTGCAGTAGCTAGCACTGTATGTTTAGAGAGACACTTCTCTACTGCAGCTGAATATCCAGTACAATCCACACCCCTATAATGCCTACTGCACATGGCTTTCACAACCAAGCCGTGAAATGGACTAACAATCCTTTGAATTCACTTTAGCAGGCTTATCACCGAGAATTTCGTAGCTTAACTGCGTTTGTGTAATCCTGCAGAAAGGCTGAGAGCATCCCTTCACAGCAAGAGGCCTTCTGGATAATTGTGTTACAGCAATTCTATAAACACATTTGTTGCAATGATGTATTTTTTTTCCACATGGTTTGGGATTTATGAATGACTACTACTGTATATATAATAATATATGAGAGTAATGACAGATAACTCATTGAGAGCTATAACGGTGATATTTTTTAATTCACTGGCGCTAGCCTCCCTAATGGTCTTACAATGCAGTAGAATAAATATATTGGTCCATAATCAAGCCTACAGTAAAATAGCAAACAAAGTTACAAAAATATAAAAAATTCCTAGTTTATATTTACCATATTTGTCATATTGTTGCATGTACACATTTGTTTGTGTACAATAAGGGGTTGTTTTACCTCAAAATAAAGGGGTTTAGATCATGAGATGATTCTTTGTATTTATATCGATGGATTTGTAATATGAATTTACCAGACAAAGACAAAATCTCTTCTTCTGGATCGATGTATATATTTCTTTTAAGAACTACACATTGTGAAAATGACACTGTTACTCTGTAGGAATACAATTAGAATTTGGTAGATTCGTGTTTTTTTAGGTTATTTTTTTAGGTTATTTGGCGATTGATTTGATAATGAAACATGAAAGACATTACATAGCAATTTTGCTCACGTCTCTCTTTCTCTGTCTCACTTGAGTGTGTCCCCTCCTATGTCTTCGTCCCTCTCTCAATTCCTGGCATTCCCTCTGTTTCCCTGGAGTGAGGCTGTGTTATGGCTGTGCCCAGGGCAGAAGACTATTAATAAGACATACTGCTGTGGAAAGGTATAGATCAGAGGAGAAAACAGTACCCTGGGCTACTGCATAGCGAGTGGAAATGGAAGGCAAAGAGAATGAGAGAAAGCTAGAAAGAGATAGATTGAAGGGAAGACATAATGCCTAGGGTACTGTAAACAAATAGATGGCCCTATGTCTTTGAAATAGCAGAAAACAAAGAGTTGGAGAGGTAAAAGAGGGATGATGAGGTCTAAAATGATGAACTCAGCAGAGGGCTTATAAAAGGGCAGTTATGGTAAGATGTATATCTGGGGGATACTTCAGGTATCTTGGAGTGTGTGGATAAAGGAGCAGATCAGCAATTTGGTACGGAATAAAGATGGGAAGAAAAGGTGCCTGAAAAAGATGCAGGTCTCTGAGTTTAAAATATAGTTAAAATAAGTCAAAAAACAAAAGAAAGTCGAGTGAATCTCTTCGACCACTGGTTTTATACTATGTTGTCTTTCGTTTGACATACCATAACCATTTTATAGATAGATAGATAGATAGATAGATAGATAGATAGATAGATAGATGGATAGATGGATAGATACTTTATTGATCCCAATTTGGGAAATTATTTAGTCAAGTGATTTCAGACTTTATAATGCAATTCTTAAAATGTATCTTTATTAAGATGCCAAACTGACTTACTGATACAATAATGCAGTGTGAAAAAAAGGCCACTCTTTTGTTTATCAACATGATTTCCATGAAGGAGTCTGTTTAATACCCTTGTTAATATGCCGATGGTTTTAAACAAGGAGACAAAAGCTGTTGAGGGGCCGTTTGGCTATGCCAATCTAAAAATGTCTGAAACTGCTCTCCCCAGCACATTTTGAATTAAAGCCATTGTGATGGTAATTTTGTCACCTCTAATGGCCAATTAGATATGCTAGCAGATAGAGAGCACTGCATAACAATTTCTGGGTTCTAATTACCTCACCAGGTCAGGTTATTAAGCACTGACATTGTGCAAAGCACCATACCAGTGTATTAGAGGCCCTGAAGAATTCCACAATATTTAAATACATTGTCTGTCAATCATAGAATTTTGACTTTTCAGGTTTTAGAATGACTTACTTAAGGGAGTTATTTTACCAAACGTTAACTTTTATTAGTAATAGTAATAGATACACTTGAATCAAGAAATCTTTACATTAAAATAAGACTCTTTTGAAACCAGACTTTTAATTTGGAGTGCCACTATGTTTTCCACATGTTGAGTTTTCAGTTGAACAGCATTCTGGATGATGAGGAGCTTTATTTCTGCTCTCTTGCACCGTGACTGTAAAAGATTACTATGTACTGTATGCACATTTGTCAGACTCACAAATGTAAGGATAAAAGTTACATTCCCCTTTTTCCAAAGGAATGATTTTGTTTATTATGTGTGTGATCATGAAGGTACATTCTCTGTATGGTTGTAGACTTTAAAAGAGCATATTACATGATAAATCAAGGAAACTGTGAAATCAAGGTTTATTTTTTTCTCTCTCTCTCTCTCCTTGCAGGTTGTGAGCTTATATATCGTAATCGTGATGGCGATGTTATTAAGTTCAATGTCGACACTGATGAAAAGACCATCTTGGTGCATAAAAAGAAATTTGTAAGTATTTTGCCATCTTTTCCCCCTCTTTATTTTCTCATACAGAAAGGGCTGAATAACTAACTATGGCTGTTGATTAACTAAATTAATGTTCTTTTTATATCTCAGCCAATCAAAGCACCTAAAGCTCTTTTTATTGCACAGCTTAATCAAATGATTCAACCTGTCTCTGGCCCAAGCAGTTGTTCCCACCATCTTCAAGACCGCCACCATCGTGCCAGTGCCGAAGCTCTCAACCGCTACGGCTATTAATGACTTCCGTCCTGTTGCACTCAATCAATCAATCAATCAATGTTTATTTATATAGCCCAATATCACAAATGTTACATTTGTCTCAGTGGACTTCACAGTTTGTACAGAATATCAGTATGACAATACGACACCCTCTGTCCTTAGACCCTCACATCGTACAAGGAAAAACTTCCAGAGAAAAACCCACAGTTTAAAGGGGAAAATGGGAGAAACCTCAGGGACAGCAACAGAGGAGGGATCCCTCTCCCAGGACGGACAGACGTGCAATAGATGCCGTGTGTAAATCGAAGAGATAATACATTTTTCAGCGTAGGTAGACCGAATGTTTGGAAGTGCATGTGTCTATAATAAGTAGATGAATCCACGAGGATGGCAACAATCCTGTGGGAGCCATCAGGGAAGTAGTATGATGAGAGAAAGTAAGGAACAGAGGTGGAGAGGCACAACGTGTCTACGTACATGCACTCCCTTAGGATAGGTTGAGGGAAAAGGGTAGTAAGTAAGAAGTAGGGAACAGAGGTGGAGAAGCACAACGTGTCTACGTACATGCACTCCCTTAGGATAGGGTGAGGGAAAAGAGTAGGAATTAAGATGTATGCGCCACATCTATACCATGAGCGCATTGCTCCTAAAAAGTTTTTTGGCACTGACACCAATCAACAGTTGTGCGTCGACTCGGCAGGGATCAAGGCACGTGTATGCCTCTCCCTGCTTCCACCGTCTAACTCACCCCCATCATCGCTAAGTGCTTCGAGAGACTGGTTCTCTCGTACCTGAAATCCTGTCTGCCTGCTACACTGGACCCATACCAGTTTGCCTACCGCTGCAATAGTTCAACATCTCCACGCCACTCCACTCTGCCCTGACCCACCTGGATAGCCCCAAATCTTACGTCAGAATGTTGTTCATAGATTTCAGTTCAGCATTCAACACTGTGATCCCCTCCACGCTGATCTCCAAGCTTCGCCAGCTTGGTATCAATACATCGCTCTGTAACTGGATCCTGGACTTCCTGTCTGTGAAGTTAGACAACCTCTCCTCCTCCACTACTACCTTGAACACCGGCGTGCCACAGGGCTGCGTGTTGAGCCCTCTCCTGTACTCCCTGTTCACCCATGACTGCGCTGCTGTTTATGATTCTAACACCATAATAAAGTTTGCAGATGACACCACGATTGGTTGGCCTGATCAGAGGTGACGACGAAACGGCCTACAGGGATGAGGTACAGCACCTGGCCACGTGGTGTGCTGACAACAACCTGGCTTTCAACACCAAGAAGACCAAAGAGATCATCGTGGACTTCAGGCGGGACAGGAGCCATGTACACACCCCCATCTCCATCAACGGAGTTGCAGTGGAACGTGTGTCGAGCTTCAAGTTCCTTGGCATTCACATCTCCGATGACCTCACTTGGTCTCTGAACTCCTCCATCCTGGTCAAAAAGGCGCAGCAGCGTCTCTACTTTCTAGGGGCCTTAAGAAAGCCCACCTTGGTCCCAGGATCCTGGTGGACTTCTACCGTTGTACCATCGAGAGCATTCTCACTAACTGCATCATAGTGTGGTACGGCAACTGCTCCGCCTCAGACCAGAAATCACTCCAACAGCTAGGGAAAACTGCCCAACGGATCACCGGCACCCAGTTACCCACCATTAGGAACATTTTCCTCAAACGCTGTCTGGACAAATCCAGGAACATCGTCAAGGATGCCTCCCACCCCAACAACAGACTGTTCACCCTCATTCCATCTGGCAGGCGTTACAGGAGCCTCCGTTCCCGTACCACAGGAAGAGCTTCTTCCCCGAGGCTGTGACTCTGCTGAACTCCTCTCCCTTACTCTCTAGCATCATTGCACTCACCTGCACTCAACTGCACTGATTATACGCACTAAATGGACATGTTATTTGCACAATCATGTTACTGTACATTTTTTTTAATAATATTACTATTTATACATAAAATCTGCACTTGCACTCTATCTGTCAATACTTACATCGGTATATTGTAAATTTGTTTTGCTCATTCAATGCTCCCTGTATTGTCAGTTTTTATAATATGCACCTTGTTTTTATTTATATTTAGCACATCTTGCATTTCTGGTTGGATACTAACTGCATTTCATTGGCTTGTACTTGTACTTTGCACCATGACAATAAAGTTGAATCTAATCTAATCTAATCTTAAAATTATCCATTATTGCTGCAAAATGTGAACAACATAGTTAAAATAAGGGCATCGTTATGTGGGGGTAACATCGAGATCGAGATATAGTGTCTGTGCTGCGGCAGGCTTGGATGAGGACACACAACATTATGTCTGCTATCAAATCCCCAAGCCCCAGTGCAAAGATTAATGCATCTTCCATTTGTTTCAAAATATGTGCAATCCATCAAATGCAGTCATTTAAGGACTAGTTTAATGAAAAAATACCACGCATGGTTCAATGTTTCATCCCTCTGTCTTTTTTTCTCCTCTTACATCTGCCTTTGCTTCCTTAGGAAATGTACAAAGCCAGCAAGTATGAGGTGTCTCCTGATTTGAAGCATGTGCTGCTGGCCTACAACGTTGCACCGGTGAGCTTCTCATTTGTTTGCTTGTTTTTTGAATTAACAAACTGACAGCCAAATATGTCAGCTGCCTCCACTGGGAGGGTGGGGTGTTTGCTCGTAAAGCAACATGGGCAGGGGGGGGAGGGAAGAGAAAGTAATCATTGCGGGCTGTGAAGGCCTGTTGCACACCGCTGCCTGTCACTGATGGCAGCATGGGCCAGCACAGCCGTGTGGAACTGTAGTGAGGCAGGCAGAAACATAAACAACCCCCCCGATGCTGAAACAGGCTTGCAGGGTGGGAGATGAGATCGACAGGAAGAAAACAAAGTATTGGCTAGGGATTTATCATTTCTGTTCAATTGCGAATAAAGTATTCTTTGACTTCATCAGCTCCGCTAGCATTTTGATATACAGAAAAGCATGTCAGCTCCTAATATAGGTGGATCAGATATATTGAATCATTTTGCAAGCTGATGTCTGTGTGTCTACTTCATTTTGCCTCACCACCTAGTCACTGAAGAGAGTTTGTGCCTATTGTTAGTGTGTAAAAGATACTGGGAGAGATATAACCTTTTATTATTGCCGGAGATGAATGGAAAATATATCGACACACTACAGATGCCTTGTCTGTTGCGCTGTATGTTTTTGCATTTATTATTCTATTCAAACCTCCATCACCTTGATAGATGACAGTCATTCCAGCGATACTGTAGCACCTTCATGCACTGCTCATCTCTATAACATTTTATATGGATCACTTGGTTGATAATAAACTGTGTTTTCATGATAACACACAAACAAGCTATCCTGTTGGAATGTAAATATGTCTATATTTAGCAGTGACTTAATGCACACAAGTGTAGCATACACATGATGAACTATTTGTAAAATGCTAAGAAAAACACATCACAAATATCTGACCAAAAATGTTCATAGTTTTCAAAGACCAGATGTCAGTGTTAGATATATTTCTAGCTTATAGTGGGTATCACATTTGTGTAAGAGGTATGTGGATGAGGATAATCTGTATCAGCTCCCAATTAAATAGAAGAGAGAGAAATATGTTGATAGAACTTAAAGAGTAATTACCAGAAGCTGAAATAAATTGTTGAACTGTCCATCAGTGCAGCAAGGTGAGATGTTAAACCATTGGAGGTACTTTTTGAAGAGGGTAGTTAGTTACTCTTTCGAATTTAACCTGTACTCTGATATAGAGCAAATAAAAGTATGACAGCAGTATTGTGCTGACTATAGATTTTATGAAAGGGCTTAATATTTCCTTGTATGTCTTTCCTTAATCTTTCCTTTTTTACATTCATTTAAAAATAATGAATTCAACTCATTTGTAAGTCTTTTCTAGACAGTGGCATCATAACTGATTTTTCTAAATAACAAACAAAACTGTTTCAATTAAGATGTCAAGATCAAACTGCAACCTGTTTCATGTTAGGATCTGAAATGTTTTTTATTTATGTTTCTCTCCTGCTGCCTATTCCTACAGGTGTACCAGCATTCTTACACAGCCTTCTACATCATCTGCAGTCTGGATACCCCGTAAGTAGCCAAGAGAGCCTCATTGTTCCATTTATATCGTACTGCTTCTACTACTTTTACTTCTTCTGTTCAATTCAGTTCACTTTCAATTATCCACCAATCTGTCAAGAGAACGGGTTATTGGTCATCTTTGACCTCAATAGGCAACCAGGTTTGACATCCACAGATCCTTCATCTGAACATCTAAAGTGCCAGATCAAGAAGAAACACTCTTTGATGCTACTGAACCGCTATGATCTTTATTAAAATGTGTTAAAGCCATATCTTGTATATGCACTTTAGTTACCAGTATTGATCAGTAGCCAATACATATTGTGGTATATTCTTCAAGTTAGTGTACATCTCACTTATTTACATTTTTAAAAACATCCACACAAGGTCGCAATGTTACAGCACTGTCAGCAGTGCTCAATTCTATGTGTGCTGCCACCTAGTGGTAATGGGCCAAAATACATCTTACCTGATAAGCCTCATTCATCCTCAAATCCAGACAGGGGCCGTTTCTCAATGTCGAGTAAACCTGCTGCAGAGCCACTATTTCAAGTATACTACGTCATCGAGTGGCGCCGAAGGACTGTTTAAATGCATGTTAAATGCCCAGCATTCGGCGCCACTCGATGACGTAGTATACTTGAAATAGTGGCTCTGCAGCAGGTATACTCGACATTGAGAAACGGCCAAAGAGGCAGTTGCACCTCTAATTCTGCAGCCTGCATTGCACAGCACTTTTCTCAATAAGGTGCAGTGACACTGTTTTAGAGCACTTGTATTTATGGATACACTTAAGCCTTTGTTCTTAAATGAGCTACACTTGTTTTTCTCCTGCAGCAGTCCTGAGAGTAGACAGTTTGTGAGTGTTTCTCAATCACGAGTAAAGCTGCTTCAGAGCCACTATTTCAAGCATACTACGTCATCGAGTGCCGCCGAAGTACTGTTCCAATCTCCAGCATACTTGGAAATCTACCGAGCCCGGCGTACTCCGTTTGGAGAAATATCAAGGCTGCACATGAGTAGACTCCGCGGTCTTAAAATCCCCACAATGCTTTGCGCACGGACCAATTTCCCCAAATCTGTGGCGGAAGATGTAAGACGGGGCCTCTCATATGACGCACACCTGCACACTTGCTAGCGTGTTCCACACTTCGTTTTCCGAATGCCAGGAAGTATTCTTGACTCGCTTCTGAAGCAAGATGCTCGGCAGACATGTGCTACCAAGCAAGCGTACTCGCGATTGAGAAACACCCACTGTGTGTTCAGATGTAGCACTCCAGATAGGACTCCAATGGGTGTGTCCCAACCAAAAACCCAGCGGATCCCAGTGGCTGGGGGCGTTGCCAAATTGCTAGAGGGCGTTGCCAAATTTCCCCATTTGTTCAATTACAGGATTTAACCATGAGATGGCGCTTCATTCACAAATACACACAGACAACTTGGTGTTGTAGAACTCCAAGAATCCAAAAATCAGCTCCTAAGTTCTAACCCTATCGTCTATTCCTTGACCTCTGAGTGAAACGTCATGGGGTTAAGGGATAGTCGATAGGAGAATTCAAAAGGATTTAGGAGAAGAGACTGCGGTACTTTAGAGAATCCGACTGCACTTTCACTATCCGACGTGTTTGTGATGCGCCAGCGGACGTCATAAATGTGCGTCTGCTGCTGTGGGAAAACTATGGAAACTACAGTTTTCTATACAGCGGACTACAACATGGATGTATAATAAGAGCGAGGGACTACTGTAAACTCATCTAGAGACTCTGCACCGCGCTCTGATGCTGTTGTTTTATGCTTTATGAACGTGGACAACAGAGAAACATATTCTTCATGACCAAAGTTGGAATTGAAATAAAAAAGGAAAGTGAAACTTATGCTCGTCACCCTCTCCCTCCGGTCCACATTAATACAAATGATCCCAATACGTATGATTGTATGAACTATGAAAAGATCTTAAAAGCAATACAAATGTATTTATTATAAACGTTAGTCCTTAACATCTATCACTGTGTATATCACCATTCAAACATCTTTTTAAAAGTTGAACAAACCCCACACAGCTCAGTAAAGACTGTGAAATGTTGACTTTATTTGATCATTTCAGTAAAAACTAACGTTCATATTTCTCTTTTTGATTATAATACTGATGAAAGTTCAAAACAAAGCACTTTGGCAAGTTACCACATACGTTTTAAAAAGCTTAATAAGCACCGTAACTTTCATGATATAATTTCTCGGTCATAATCGGTTGTTTCCGTGAACGGCCGACTGTTGTGTGACAGCAAATGCTGCGGCTGCAAGGCATTGTGGGGCAGCATTTTCTCCTCTCCTTTCGGCGAGGGAGGTCCAGTGGTCCCTAAGCTAAAGGAGGTTATAAAGGAAGTTTGAAACCTCCTTTCCTATCATCTAGAGAATTCGAACGGCACTTATCATGGCTGCCACTGAGGGACTTCCGGGTCATTTCACTCCGTTAGGAAGGTTCCTAAGCTAAATGGACTATTCGACTGCAGCCTTAGTCTGTTTGCAATGTTGCAGCTCTGCAGTTGTGTTGCTGAATACTGTAGCATTTAATCACTTATTTGTTATGGTTTTCACAGGCTGCTATAACGAAAAAACATCAATATTTTAGATCAAATAAAGTATATCTAATCTTATTATCTTAATTGTAATTCAATAATATATAGTCTTTATATTAAATTATCATAATAATGTAAATGTTTACACTTCTTTATTTTTATGCTCATACTTTTACCTTTACAATAGTTTGCTTTATGCAGTATATTTTTTTGTAATATTGTTGTGGTGTTTTTACACAGTACAGTAGATCGAAGTAAATCAACTTATACATTAAGATAAGATAAGATAAGATGGACCTTTATTAATCCCCGTGGGGAAATTCAGTAGTTCAAACAGCAACAGGGTTAGAGTGAAAAGCAGGACAGCACAGATTCACACAAAAATAAGATCAGCGATAAAAATAAAAATAATGAGAAACTATGAAATAAGAAATGAATACAATTAAAATGTAATTATCATATCATATATTATATAATGTATTGTATTATTAAGTAATATCATACATTAACCCCATTATAGCAGATGCCACATTGAATGGATGAACACATGTATGCATCAATAATTACAACAGAGTATTTCTAAATACAAGTTGTAAAAATACTTATATGTATTTAATACTAATAACATAATGATTAATTTCAGATGATAATACTTTTCAGGGTTACATGTAGGGTTAGGTCCGGTCTGACAGCGCTTAGCTCTCTGCTGCAGAGAGGAAGATAATTCACTGCTCTAAACAAAGTCAAAAATCAACATACAGTAGGCAACATAGGGGGATGGGGGCTGGTGAACGGTATGGTCAATGTTTGTAAACACAATCCCCAGGATGTGTCCTAATCAAACCAAAAGAGAAAATGCAGATATTACACTCATAAAAGAAATGTAGACATATCAGTACTCTTAGTGCCAAGTTGTCTCAGACAATCTGCATTTCCTAATGTGGGACAGTTCTGTGCAAAATGTGGGACACTGAAAAGTCTATGTTAAAAAGCCTCAGTCACCTTAATTCATGTAATAAAAATCTCAGGTCAGTAACACTCAAAGCTAAATGTGCAATACCATGTTCAGCTATGTTACTATTTATAATGTTATTGTTGTTACAACAGAAGATGTTTTTCTTTAAATTGAAGTTAAATGCATCAATCTGGTGCACTTTGAGGGCAAAATTAAGAGATTTATGGGTACAGCTCTCAACACTCATATGAAACAGAACTGTTATAATAATGATACAGCCAGGTCGTGACTCACAAAAAAAAAGTGTTACTTCACTAAGGCTGGTGCCCCACGGGAACGCATACGGCAAAACGCATAGGATTAACGCAATCGCAAAAAAGCTTCCGTCCACACGAAATATACACCGGATAGTGTCTGTTCACACGAGACAGCTCTGTTTAGCTCCAACCACTGGAAAAAGCTGCAGTACATATGCCGAGCCTGTACGTGGCGCTGTAACTTCCTCCAGAAAAAGCAGCGAAGAAGCATGGTTGTCATGGTTGCGCTTCTGTTTATTCACCGTGGTGGGGACCGAGGGAACCGGGCAGAGTTTTTCGCCGGTCAACGTGTGTAAAAGTTTAAATCTTCCGGACAAAATTATAAAAGTGCCGGTCAAAGGTCTTCTTTGTTATTTATTAACCTCTTAAGCACGACGGTCCCCTCCCACCGTTTTTTTTTTTCGAGACAATGTCTCAGGGCTTCTTAACATTTATGAAACTATTAATGTGTAGCACCAGATTAACGGGAAGAATCTCAGCTAACTGAAGATATGAACCATTTTTACCAAAACAAAACACAAGTCTCATAAGAAGCGTCTAAATGACCCCTGAGCGAAAAAAATCTAACGCACTGCGGCACACAATTCAAGATAAAGATACCCTTATTACTTATCGTAGCTGCACATACAATATAGCCGATTAAAGCTGAGACTCCACAGATTATTTAGGTATAGAGTGGCGAAGTCCCTCCCCTTCCGGTGGACCTCCATGGGACCTTATTTCGGAAAAATTATGTATTGAAGTCAATGGAGAGAGAAAGATTATCTTTCGATCCCGTTTGAATTGTGCCACGAATTACACATATGATGTTTGTCAATTTAAAAGATAATTTTGCAAGTCAAAACAAAAAAAATGTGTCGTAAAACTGTGAAGTAACACATTTGTTTGTGTGAAATGCTCAATGAACTACATCTCTGGTCTCACAGAACAACACACGTCACCAAGATGGCCGTCACTACTGTCTTGTCAACAAAACGATTGACTACCCTGCCTGCCTTCCTTTGATTCTCTCTGAACTGCCTGGTCTTTTTAATGTTTAATGTCAACCATTTGTGCAGATAGCATGAAGTAGAGAAGATCGCTAGCGCTAGCGTTAGCATTTCTCCCCCGGGCTTAAATTGTGTATTATAGAATGATCACACCACTGTGACAGTACTCTTC